GCTTCTAGAGCCATACATGTATCTCTGACATGCTTTGACTGATTATGTTCAAATTTTATATATTCTTTATACATCATGTTATAGATATATACATGTATTCAAAATGGCTGATTTTGTTTTAAATTAATTAATGCTGTTCCAGAGCAATATCTCTCAATATGGACAAGTACTTGTTTGATGATCAGATACAAATGTCAATCATTTTAATATTAAGCAATCATCATAATCATATTCCTGTCATGGTTATATTCTAGCTATATTACAATAAACAAAACTATATATCTTAAATTCGATAACTAACGAGAACTGTGCGATGCATGTATGTATATGTTTATTTCATCAGAAAAAAAAATGAAAATACAAGTAATTAAATAGATAAAATAAAAAATCTGATGAGGACTGTGAAAATAGTTCTGCTGAACTAGTCTAGTCCACAGCCCTGCCATGCTAGTAAACTTATATTAGGAAACAAAATAGATGAAAAATACAATTAATCAATAACTATTTATCAAAAAAAAAATAATAAATAACCAAGCAACGAGTTGATATAATAATTAATTAATCTGTTATGAAACAATTAAATGAATCAAACTGCTAATCAAACAAAAATAAGAAATATAAATAATGAATTGGTAGGGAAAAAAACAATAAACAAAATCTTCCAAAGAAGTAACAAATATGCCCTGGCTAGCAAATATAACACAAAGAAAATAAAGTAACTAAAATACTAATAATAGTCAAGAAAGATGGATATGCCAGTTAACTACTTATGAGATGGGTCTTTAAATCTGATTTAAATTGATTTCTATTATTTGAACTTTTTAATAAAACTGTGAGCGAGTTCCAATGTGTAACAGCTGCATATTTAAAATTATGCTGGGAAATGGACAAATGTAATTTCGGAATTGACAGGTTTCCTTCAGTTGTTGCTTTAGTAGGGTAGCTAGGTATGTGACGGATTGCTTGCATAATACCTAAGACTACGGGCAAAACGGTTGTGTCCGAGGTCAAAAATAAATAAGCATGATTGAAGTTTGCAGAGTTTGTGAATATCGAGAATTCCAAGTTGGCGAAAAAGGGGAGCAGAGTGAGCATGAAAGTCGGAAAAAGTGATAAGTCGAACTACCTTTTTTTGTAGACAAAGAATTGGCTCAAGTAAAGTTGGATAAGTGTTTCCCCAAATTTCAATAAAGTATGTTAGATGAGGAAGGATTAATGTATTATATAGTAAAATTAGTATAGAACGAGGAATATAGTGACGAATTCGGGATATAATACCAATTTTGGGAGTAATAATTTGTCTCACTTTTTCTATATGAGATTTCCAGGTAAGTGAGGGGTCAATAGAAACACCTAAGTATGTAGCTGTCTGTACGCCCTCTATCGGCGTGCCCGTCATAGTTAGATGGCCTATTATTTGGGTTCGTTTTGGGGGCGTTTTCATAATCATGTAATTAGTCTTGTCTACACTCACTGTTAGTTTGTTAGCATTACACCATTCTATCACTTTACCAATGTCGTTGTTAATTGTGTTAAGGTCAATAGTACATGTATGTGTTTTCATGTATTTAAACAGGTTAGTATCATCGGCAAATAAACGAAAAACAAATGCATTAGTGGATTGGTTAATATCATTAATATAAAGAAGGAAAAGAATTGGTCCTAAAATGGAACCCTGTGGAACCCCACATTTAATTAGTCGTTGCGCTGACATAGTGCTATCGATATTTACTGCTTGTTGGCGGTTGGAAAGGTAGCTATGAAACCACTTGAGTGGGAGACCCCTGACCCCATAATATGCTAATTTTTTAAGGAGAATTTGGTGGTCAATTGTATCGAAGGCTTTTTTTAGATCAATAAAAATACCAAATGTTACAAAGCCTTCATCCATTTTATCTACAATATCAGACACTAAATCGGCAAGGGCAAGTTTTGTATTAAATTTTTTCCGAAACCCATACTGAGATGGCAGAAGAATATTGTATTTATCAAGGAAAGACATTAGTTGTTTGTTAATAATAGACTCTATTATCTTGCTAAGGACAGGTAAAATTGAAATCGGTCTGTAGTTACTAACATCTAAAGCTGACCCCTTTTTATATAATGGTATAATTTTAGCAACTTTAAGGGCATCTGGGAATATACTTTGTGTTATGGAAGAGTTAGCAATGTGTGCTAGAGGATGAGAAATATGATAAGCAGCGTCAATTATAAGCCGGGGGTGTATGCAATCCTGTCCCATTGCTTTCTGGGGATCCAAACGAAATATTTCGTTGGCAATGTCATTTTCATTGACTGGCCGAAAAAAGAATGAGGCTGGATTACTGTCATTGAGATAATGCTCAAAGTCATTGTTAGAAAATATTTTTGCTGCAAGATTGGGGCCAATAATTGTAAAATACTCATTGAATTGTTCAGCAACATCGATACTTTTCGATAAAATCTTTTCAGTATTATTATTAGATTTAATGTTTTTTGGGGAGGACATATTTTTGTTTTTATTAAGAATTCTGTTAACAGTTTTCCAGATTGCATTGCAATTACCCTTGGCACTAGAAAATTTCGAATAATAATATCTTCTTTGGACCGCTTTTAGAAGTTTTGTCAAATGATTTCGATATATTCTATACTTGTTTCTGATTTCGATATTATCTGGTGACTTTAACATACTACAATATAATTTATATTTAGTTTTGGCTGATATAATTAAACCTTTTGTTAGCCAAGGTTTGCGAATAGATTTACACTTCTTTTCAATTTGAATTGTTGGTGCATGATTCGACATTACACAATAGAAAATATCACACAAAACGGAGTAGGCGTTATTGGGGTCACTAATGTTAAAAACGGGTCCCATGATATATTGTCCAAATCTCGGAGGAAGTCATCGCGATTGTAGCGAGAAAAGTCACATTTGCGATAAGTAGTGTTCTGATTAAAAATGTGGCCAAGGTTTTTAATTATTGAGAAAGTGGGGTAG